GGTGATCGATGATCTAAGTTTCTTTTCTGTATAAGTTCTGAACTCTTTTTTTGCCTAGATGCCAAAGAATCTTTCATTAAAACCTAGTCATTTTGTTTGAATATATCTTGGTGTAAGTCCCTCTGAGTTGATATTCTCAGATAACTCCCAGATATCTACAGTGTGTGTGTGTCCTTTGAGTATGTAGTTTCAATTAAAAACATAATATCAGAAAGTTTGTTGTTTTAATTACAGTTTTTTACTATTTTTTCTTTTCCCTTATTTTGGTTTAGTTTTTCAGGGACTCCTACTATCCATATATTGTATCTTATTTGCCTGTGTATGTTTATTTGCTCTTATGTTCCTATCTGTGAACTGACTTTTTATATTTTCTAACTAGCTCTTGAATTCTGTCACCTCGTTTCTGAGTTTTTCTAACTCTTATTAATGTTCTTTCATGTCTTGTATATTTTCTTATGCCTGTTAGTTTGTTTTGTAATAGTAACAGTTTTGATCCTTTTTTTCCCTTTGTTGAAACACTTTTTCTGGCATGCTTTCATTTTCTGTAGGGATAGTATTCTGCTACTCGTTGGCTTTATCGTAATTTTGTAACAGATTTGATCCTGAGACTTTTTGCTTATTTTTATGTGAAATTAGTTTCTTTGGGTTTTTAGAAATTGGCTTAGTTTCCTCATGTGTGTGTACATGTGTATACATGTGTGTACACGTCATGTGTACACACGTGCATGCACTACAGAACATAACTGCTGCTTTTTGACACGACCAGCCCTGCACCCTTTGTACGCTTTTATCTGGACCTTCCCTTTGCTTTGTCTCTGTCCCTGTTCCACTGAAGTTTGAAGTTTGTTCACTGCCAGCAGTTTCTCCACCATAGGGGATGGGACCTGGGAAGGGGGAAGGGCCTGGTAGCTCGGAATTCCTCGGGTCACGTTGCTCCAGTGGACTCGGGCGCTGCTGCAGGTCCCTTGCTGTCACACACCATGAGAGTCGGCAGAAGTCCCCCCACTTCCCGCTGCTCTTCTCAGATAGTCCTGCTTTTCTTTCCAGAGAACCTGTTAGTAAGTGTTGGATTCTTCAGGTCTTAGGGGTGACAGACACCACGTGGCTTTCCTCCCATGTAACGGTGAGGACACACAAGTCTCCTAGCTGGTTGCTTACCCCATCTGCTTGCATTCTGCACCTGGTTGGGCGGGGTACATTGGTTACCTGGTCCTGTTGTAAATGTCCATGGGTTTGGGTGTGTCGTGCAGTCACCCTGCTTGTCTTTCATTGGGAATTCAGGCAGGTTCAAAATCCACGTCACCAGCATGGCTGCAGATTTTTCCAGAATTCTGAGATTTTAGTGCTCAAATTAGTGCTAGTTTAAAAAAGACAACTCTCTATAAAGGGGACTTGAATTAAAAATAAATGGAACCATCAATCAAGTACTTGTTTTAGTTCACTAATGTGAATGAATCCCAGTGTGGTGGGCCCCTGCGGGGTTGTACTTCGCTGGAATACACGATGGAGCTGTGAGCCGCCCAAGTAGGGCCTTGATGGCCAGGCTGAGTGCGCATGTTCGCAGAAATGGGTCCATGTACTCTGGGAGCAGCATGCAGGTGGGCCTCCTCTACCTGGGGCAAGCTGAGGTGGGATGTGAATGAGATGACAGTGGCCCTGGATTTGTAAGGCTGAGCTGAAGCCTGCAAGACTGATGAGGTGCTAGAGAAATCCTAGGCCTTGCCATAATGCATGACATGCCTAATTAAGCGGGGACCAGTAGTAAAGTGGGAGTATGTTTAGAGCAAAGACGCGAGCTGGGAAGTGAGTCGGATTTGTCTTTCAGGACGTTGCATACCAAGGATCTGTGGGTCCAGTTGGTTTTAGAATAACCCTTCCAACATGATGGAGGGTGATTGTACTGCACTGGAGGTAAGCAGTCTACTGAAAAGGCCAAATACAAATAAGCCAGTGGGGAAGGGAGCGGGAAGAGACAGTGTGGACTAGGCAAACCTTTTGAAGTTTTTGATAACTATGCTGCTCTAATTTCACAAAGCATTTGCCTCCGAGGTTCTCAGCCCTGGCTGCCCATTAGAATCACTTGGGGGCTTTAAAAAAATGCCTGCCGTCTCCCTTCCTCCAGTTGTATTTAATTGATATGGGGTGGGGGTTTGGACACGAGCAAGCATTTTGAAACTGTGCCCAGTGAATTCTTCTCTGCAGCAGACTTTTAAATGAACTGTAGCAGACACTGATTCAGCAGATTTCATGCCCTACTAAGTGCAGGAGCTGCATGGAAGCAGTGGTGTGGCCCGGTGCTAGGCTGTCACTGCAGCCAAAAACTACACTTCGATTTACCCACAAGTAAATCTTAAGAAAGTATCTTCCCACCTCTGCCTTTCCTCATGGAAAGTTCCTGATTCTTTCAGTTTCTTTAATATTATGTTGTTTCTAATATTTCAATAAAACAATTAGCAAGCAAGATGTAAAGGTACAGTATACAAGAAGATAGAGTAAAAAGATTCACCCCACCTTTTTCAAGGAGAAAAAAAGCAAAAGAATAATTCTTCTCCCCACATCCCTTGGACATTTAGGGGTTTCCCCCCCCACACTATTTGAAGTGACAAACAACCTGCAATACATAATTGTGTGCATATGTGTTTTCATTTCATTGGAGATGTATATCTTCAGGGTACATTCCTAGAAACCAGTTTGCTCCGTGGAAAGGTGAGAAACTTGGAATTTTGTTCGCTAGTGCCAAATTCCTCTGCTGAAGACACGAGCAGATGACCTGCCGTCCATCTGCAGTGATGAGCGAGCGCCCGTTCTCTGCAGCCTCCACAGCAACACGTGCTGTCATACATGAATTGATACCATTCTCCCAGTGGTTTTAGTTTGCATTTCTCTAATTGTGGGTTTGAACCTCTCCTGTAGCTTTTGTAAATTGTGTCATTGTTTGTTTGTTTGTTTGTTTGTTTTCATTGAGGTAACATTGGTTTATAATGTTACATAAGTTTCAGGGGCACAGCATTATAGCTCAGCATCTGTGTGCAGTACAGCGTGCTCAGCACCAAGGTGTGGTTTCCATTCCCCTTTCCCCCTGCTAACCACCAGTCTGTTGTCTACATCTGTGAGTTTCTTTTCCTTTTTTTAATTTTTTTATATTCCACATATGAGTGAAATCATACAGTATTTGGTCTTTCCCCATCTGAATTATTTCATTTAGCCTAGTACCCTCAGGGTCCATCCATGTTGCCACAAATGGCCAGATTTCATTCTTTTTTATGGCTGAGTTGTATTCCTCGGNGTGTTTGGGGGTGGGGGTTGAGCACCATCATGTCTTAAGGGGACTCCTTCAGTCTCATAAACGAGTCTCTGGACCCTTCCAGTGGATTCCACAGTCTCCTCTGCACAGCTTCTCTGTCTTACTCTTTTGCCCTCTCACAGTTACTTATCAGTCCCCGCTAGCCTGCACTCTTGACCTCAGCAAACCTGCCAAGTCTTTCCTTCATGTCTTTTGGTGCATTTGTTTGTCACTGTTCTGTCTTTACCACTTCATCTCCCCACTCACGCACGCATGTACATGCGCACACACGCACCTCATCCTTCAGGCTTAGCTTTAGTATTCCCACTTTAGTATTTCTTAGGGGAAGTTTCAGCTTTAGTGTTTCTTCCTCAGGGAGGCCCTCTTTGACCACTGCTAGACACAGAACCCCACTTCGCCCCTTTCTGAACTCTTCATCACACTGGTAATTGCCATGGTAACATTCTTCCCCCCCCCCACCACCATGTAAGTTGCCCAGGTAGAGGTACTCTCTCATTTGCTGCTTTTTAGCCATAGTTCCTGACACAGAGGTAATATTTGCTCAAGAAAATACTTGGAACAAATGAATAAATTAATATATGAGGAATATTTTGGAGTCAGCTCTGTATTGGTCATTTATGACTTTTTAATCTTGAGTAAGCACAATCTTTTAACCGGTGCTATATTCCTCTGTGATACTACAGCCATTTCTGAAGCGCGTAGGTCGTTGCCTGGATCCCCTAGAAAGTCCTTTTCATTTTGCTCTGATTCTGTTCCTATTTGTGAGCACTTGGTATATTTACCTTAAGTTAAACTGTAACCAATGTAACTTTTAGAAGTTCAAGTAGCAGGCCTGCTAACTAACTTATATTAAAAAGTTTTCCATTTCCCATCTTGGTTTTCATTTTTTGTTTAAATACAACAACACTCAGAGTCCTTTTCTTCCTCCTCACTCAACCAGGAGCAGTCCTTCTCCTATTGACATTATGTTGTAGCCATTGTTCTAAAAAAAAATTTAAAAATTCTACAGCTTTGCAGGCCTCTGAACAGTTTTCTGGACTCTCCGGGAAACTTCCTCAACTCTGACCACTCCCTCACCTCACCCTCGGATACAATTCGTGATGCCTCATTCTTGGTGACATGGTTGGTTGGTAGAGGAAAGGCCCAGATGTGCCTGGCTAGATGGAAGCCTGTGATGGCGCTAATACAGAGCTACGTGCCCATGTTGTTGAGCATGTCTCCAGTGCCAGTGGTGTGTAGGGCCAGAAGGAAAGACTTTTGCTCTGGGAGCTGGGGAAAATGAAAACAGTATATGCACAAGTCATCAATAAAAGCATCAACCTTTCCAGAGGCTTTCCAGACCTGAACCAATGTGTGTTTTGGAATGGTATTCATTAACCCTCCTGAGAAGCTACTGTGTCAATACAGCATGGCCAGAAAGAAGCGGTCTTCTCTCCTGGCTTTCCTGCCTTTGGGAAAATGGGAATCCGGTATCAGTCTTCTGCTTGAACCACACTTTGCCTTTGCTTTCACACCGACAGTGCAAACTATTTGATAACTAGAGGAAATGTTTTCTTTGCAGGCTGACCAAGAATACTTCCTTGTTATTGATTGTACTTAAAAGCCCTTCATGCCATGATTATTAGTCTTATACTTTTAAATTCTATTTAAGTGTCTTAGGATTTTACACTAAAGATACTTAAATATACTATTTCAGAGTACGGTCTTCGATTGGCCAGCCATATATTTGTAAAGGAAATTTCACAAGATAGTTTGGCAGCAAGAGATGGCAATATTCAAGAAGGTGACGTTGTATTGAAGGTACAGTCATATTCTTACCTTTTAATGAACTGAGCTAGAAAACGGGTTCTAGTGTGACCAGATAGCTTCTGCTCATGTTTGAAGCAATTGTGCCAAAAAGAATTAAAAATCAGTGTTTGGGGGACCTGGTAGTTTCTGCTGTCCATTTTTACAAGTCAACACTGATGCTTTTCGTTAGGCGTAGAGCCATCCTGAGAGAATTAATCGCTACAAATGTATTATATGTCATTCACTAGTAGGAGCTACTTTGTAGATAGATATGTTTCTTCTTATACAATAAGTGGTTCTGATAAGGGCTCCAGATACTATTGAAATATTTCCTTTGTTAGTTTGCTTAGGAGTAATTGAAAGTGACAGGCTTTCGTGGAGGGACTCCGGGATGCTAATTTGGGTTTTTTGACAGACCACAATGTAGTAAAGATTTTGTTTCAGGAAGGGACAAGGATTTTGATAATACTGAGCAGTGTGAAGGGAATGTTTTGGTTCTTACAGCCAAGGAGTAGTTTAGATATTCCTGTTCATATCAGACTTCAGTTAACATTCATATTTGGGTCATTTACTTTCAACTATAGTTTCTGTTTTCTATTGCAGATAAATGGTACCGTGACAGAAAATATGTCATTGACAGATGCAAAGACATTGATAGAAAGATCCAAAGGCAAGTTAAAAATGGTGGTTCAGAGAGATGAGCGGGCTACCCTGCTGAATGTCCCCGATCTTTCTGACAGCATCCACTCCGCGAATGCCTCTGAGAGAGACGGTGAGTACAGCTGATTGGAGCTTGCCTCTAAGTGATCCAGTTCTTAAAGTACTAGGGAGATTCGACATCTTGGAGTGAAAAAATTTTCTGCAAGCCAGACTCCTTCAATATCTAAGAGTTACAAATGTGTGTGTGTGTGTGTGTGTATTGATTTTTTTAAAAAAATTTTTTTTCCAGTTTTGAGAAATAATTGACATAATCACTGTATAAGTTTAAGGTGTACAGTATGATGGTTTGATTCACATATATTGTGAAATGATCGCAGTACGTTTAGTTAACTTCGGTCATGTCATGTAGATACAATAAAAAGAAAAGGAAAAAATATTTCTCCTTGTGATGAGAACCCTTAGAACCTGCTGTCTTCACAGCGTTCCTGCACGTCATACAACAGTGTTAACTGTAGTCACCATGCTGTACGTGACATCCCTAGCACTCATTTATCTCATAACTAGAAATTCGTACCTTTTCACCACCTTCCTCCACTTCTCCCTCCTCCCACCCCATCTCTGGTAACCACAAATCTGATCCTTTTCTCTGTGTGTTTGACAGGAGTTTGTTGTTTTTGTTTTTAAGAGTGCACATACAAGTGAGATCATACAGTGTTTGTTTTTTTCTGTCTGAACTTATCTCACTTAGCAGAATGCCCTGAGGTCCATCCATGTTGTCGGTATATATTTTTTTCTGTGGACAGCACACCACTATTGACGAGTTGCTGATGAAGTTAATGCTTAAATCAACCATTCTGTGTGAAATTATGTTTAGAAGCTTGTATCTATTATTAGTGGCGTACCTGATATTTTACTATTCTCATTTCATGGGGAAATAAATAGCACCCTTTTATTTAACAGACATTTCAGAAATCCAGTCCCTGGCATCAGATCATTCGGGTCCATCTCACGACAGGCCTCCCCGCCACAGCCGGTCACGGTCTCCTGACCAGCGGTCAGAGCCTTCTGACCATTCTAGACACTCACCCCAGCAGCCCAGCAGCGGCAGGTAATCACACTATTGTTTAAAATAAGATGCTGCTTGTGCCTGATACATGTTTTTAGTATTGCTTACAAATAAAACTAGAAGAAAGGTTTGGGGCTGGCTGAGTGGNTTCTTCAGATAAATTCCCAGAAGTGGGATTGTTGGATCACATGGTAGTTCTATCCCTGACTTTTGAGGACCCTCCATACTGTTTTCCATAGTGGCTGTACCAGTTTGCAAATCCACCAACAGTGCACAAGGGTTCCTTTTTCTCCAAATCTTCCCCAAGACTTGCTGCTATATTTTTGATAATAGCGATTTTAATAGGTGTGATATCCCGAGGTTTTAATTTGCATTTCTCTAATAATGTTGAACGTTTTTTCATGTGCCTGTTGGCCATCTGTATGTTTTCTTTGGAAAAAAAATGTCTATTCAGGTCCTCTGCCATTTTTTTAATTGAGCTGTTTTGTTGTTGTTGTTGTTGATGTTTTTGAGTTGTATGAGTTCTTTTTATGTTTCGGATATTAACCCCTAATCACATGTATGATTTGCAAATATCTTCCACTCAGGGTTGTCTTTTCACTTTATTGATGGTTTCCTTTGCTCTGCAAAGCTTTTTAGTTTGATGTAGTCCCATTTGTTTATGTTTGGTTTTGTTTCCATTGCTGTTGGTATCAAATCCACAAAAACATCGCTAAAACCAACATCAAAAAGCTTAGGGCCTGTGTTTTCTTCTATGTATCATATGGTTTCACGTCCTACATTCAAGTCTTTAATCCATTTTGAGTTCAGTTTTGCATATATCTAGTTTCATTCTACTGTCTGTGCCTATAGATTTGTCTTCTGTTTTATATGAATGAAATTATACTATATGTGATCTCTTATGATTGGCTTCTTTCACTTAATATGATGTTTTCAAGGTTCATCTATTTCATCACATGTATTAATCATTTCTTTTTATTGCAAATAATACTCTGTTCTAAGAATATACTACATGTTACTTATCCATCCATCAGTCAGTGGGCATGTGGGTTGTTTCTACTTTGGGGCTATTAGAAATGATGCTGCTGTGAACATGTGGGTATAAGTCTTTGTGTGGACATACGCTTCCACTTTTCTTGGGTGTATGCCTGGGAGTGGAATTGCTGGTGTTTATTCCTTTTTAAGGAGAGGTTTTTTTCTCTTTCTCTTGCCACTTCAGTAGGCTTTAGGGTGGGAGTGGAGGTCATGACGTGTACCCAGTCCATGGTGGGTGGTATGAATCAGAGGGATACTGTAGAACCCGTTATATGAGAAGACACTGCGCTGCTCTAGTGATTCTGGTGCCCAGGGAAATGTTTGATGCTCCTTTAGACTAGTCTGCATACTGGACTTTATTCCCTCTCTAGGGGGTGGCTTGGATTTCTTTGAAAGTAGGTATTTTTTCATAATGTGGAAATACTTTGAATTTTTTTCTGTACAGGGCTATCCTTAATTATTGTGGTAAAGATTTTCAATTCATTTAGAAGTATATAGTTTATAATTTTCTTTAATTAAAAGTGTTTTAAATGCTTGCTATGATTACTATATTCTTCCTATTGTATTCAGTGTTTATAAGACATTATAGTGTAGTACTTCTAAAGAGGTTTTAACATAATTGAAGGAAGTTGAAATAACATTTTTTATTTTCACAGCTATTGATATTTTATTTAAAGTGGCACTGGTGTATATGGTAATTAAGTCTGTCATCACCTGGGGCACTGCCAATCCCCTCAGGAACCATTCTGATAATCAGAAATAAACTCGGCGTTTTCAGTGTTCAGTGTTTGAAAATGTATTTTAGTTCTTAAAGAACATGCATATGTAACTGGCAGTTTTTACTATCCTGTTCCTCCCAGCATGTTCTGTTTATTGGAGCATTCCCACACCAGGATGGGTCATTCTAATGTGTAAGCACCCAATATAAGCAAGTGAGTGTGGATCGCAGATGTACTCAGATTGTCGTTTTTAACTTTTTTAGTTCATAGAGTATGGCATGAGGAACAATCATTTTTCTTAATAGTAACATTTGACTGTTGTTTTGACTTCAGGCTCCTGGATTTGGATTTGGAATTGCAATATCTGGTGGAAGAGATAATCCTCATTTCCAGAGTGGGGAAACGTCCATCGTGATTTCAGACGTGCTGAAAGGAGGACCAGCCGAAGGACAGCTGCAGTAAGCGCGTGTCTTCTGCAAGCCCTGCTCCGACCTAGGCCTCTGGCAAACTGTGCTAGTGATGTCTTTAAGTTAATATATGTTTATCCTTACCTCTGTCATAAATGCAAATATACTTATCCTAAACAGAAGATGGCTGTAAAAATAAAACTAGTGTGAAGAAAACTTGTTACTCAGTTTGGGGTAGACTGTAGCTTTCAGGAGGCTCTCACCTGAGTCTTGCCCTTTTTGTTCAGAGATTATCAAGATAAAGATGCAAAAGATACAGTAGCAGAAAAGTGAGAATATAATCTGAAGGACTGAAAGAAAATTGGAATGAGAGTNGGGTTTGTTTTTCTTTATCAATTTAGGAATTTCATATCTGAAAACCAGAGGTCTATTAAACTGAAAGGGCCAAACAGTAAATATTTTAGGCACACGAGCCATACAGTTTCTTGTCACTAGTCAGCTCTTCTTTGTAGCACAAAAGTAACCGTAGATAATATGTAATTGAATGGGCATGGTAGTGTTCCAATAAAACTTTATTTATAAAAACAGTTGGCCCACAGCTGCAGTGTGCTGACCCAGTGCATTAGAAGGTGCTAGCAAGCTTCAGTGATCTGCTTGGGAAGGTTAAGGATAGTAGAAGTCCTTTAGTAGGCAGGTTAACCTGGTCTTTGTTTTCCCATTTCCAAATCCCCTGGTATTTATGCTGACGGGCCTGGTATGCCAGTGGTGTGTGTCTTTCCTGAGTGTATGTTGTCTTTGGGGGTCACGTATACATTTGAGAGTCTGAAGGAAATTTGACCCTTATCTCCAGAAAATGCACATGTAGCATTTTACAGAAAATTTCTAAATGTTCCCAGGGCTTTCGTAGGCCACCAACTGACGTGTGGCTTTACAACAGTCCATAGGGAGCTCTTCCGGAGGCACTTAAGAAATTCAGGAGCTGGACAGTTTAGGATTAGAGATGGTGATTTGGGATTTACCTGCATCGAGGTGTCAGTTTCAGCTATAGAAGCCACTAAAGTTGCTAAGAGAAGGTCAAGAACCAGACCACAGGGAGGACCTTCCTGGAGGAAGGTGAGGAGGCAGCGGAGGAGTAAATGGAGACACAGGAGTCCCTAACCAGAAGAAGAAGCTTTTTAAAGACTGTCAGAAACCATAGAGACACAGTTGTTGCTCACTGCTGTTCTTAGGTATTTGTGAAGCCCACTTTCTCTAAATTTCACATTTTAGATTTATAAGTTACATTAACCCTGATCTTTATTTTGAGGTTGTAATGATGTTTTTAAGGGAACAATATAGTAAGTCACATGCAAAACTGGCTTATCTTATACCTGATTGTTATGTTTAACTGCTGCAGGGTAATATATTAATTCTAAAACCCTTGCTGACACAGCATGGTCGCTAACTGGAGAAGGATTGCTGCCAAGTGGTAGAATTAACACCCTTGATGATTCACAGTGAGCAGCCATAAATCTAACACGTGTCTCTCACTTAGAAACCATGCTGGTATCGAGCAATCTGGACATGGTTTTCCTTTAAAAAAGAAAGAAATAAATGTTCATTAGAAAGTTGGCCATTTGTCTGTATTGTAAGAAAATTCTTAATCTTAGAAAGTTCTTTTGGTATCTTTTTTTTAACTTAGATTTTTTTTAAACACTTGGCATCTGGAACTTAAAAGTTGAAGAGGTTTTTAAACAAAGATGAACTGTTTTCATAATCCATTGGGATATTTTACTGATCTGGGGAACCTCAGCTATTCTCCCGGGTAACACCATTGATCTGAGATCTTTCAAAAATACACACTCCTGAGCTGTCCTCAGTTCATCCGACATGGAGGCAGAAAATACTTTTCTATTTTTTTAACTTGGTGTCAGTCTCCAGATTTGGGAATTTCTGGTTAGCATATACTGAAGAAAAGATAGTAGTAAGTCCTTCAACTACAGAAGACCAAAAGTCGTCCAACTCTTCCCAGATTTTTGTGCTGAGAACTCAATTCCTAAAAGTACAATAACCTGCCTTTAGTCAAGATGTAAAATAATACCAGTCATTTAAAGGCTTCACTAACCCCCAAAGTTAATGTTAAAATCCATGTAAGTGGCATTTTAGTTTAGAGAAACAACTTGCATATTTTCTAACAGTAAAATCCTAGTATTAAAAAAACACCATGGGGCCTTTTGAGCTCCTCCTTTTGCTCCGCCCGCTCCAAACTCTGTGGAGTGCACTTTCTCTTCTAATAATGGCCCTTGAGCTATTATTGCCTTCTGCTCGGGCCCGCTTCTGTTTCTTTGACGTGTACTTTTTCTTCTAATAAACTGCTCTTTCACTGCTTTAAAAAACAAACAAACAAATAAAGAACACCATGGGACCTTCACATATTCTTTTACTTCTGTTACATAGTTTTGTTTGTACAAATGACCTTGTTTTATAAACGTTATTTTAATTCTGTTTTTTAAAGAAGTGATACAAAAATGACTTGGTCTCTGGAGGCCTGGCTTGTTCTCTTCCTAGATTTCTGTGTATGTTTGTGTCTTTTTAGGATATGCAGTTACCTGCTGAGAATAATGTCTTCATTTTGTCAGAGACAATAGAATGTAGCGGTTCCTTTGGGCTTCAGAGCCAGACTTCTGGGTTTGAATCCCAGCCTGCCGCTGGTTACTTGCATGACCTTGAAACCTCTTTGTGCTTTCGTTTTCCTGTTTGCCATAATGTAGGCCTGGTCCTACGTTACAAAGTTGTGAGAATTATAATACCTGACACAAATTTTAACTGCTGTTAGGAGG